AGAAGATGTATAATAAAGGATTCAATGAGAGTATTGTCAAGTATCAATGTTGTTGAAGATTCAGTGAAAGTATTGTTAATCATCAATATAGTAGAAGATTCAGTGAGAGTATTGTCAATCATTAACATAGTAGAGAATTCACTGAGAGTATTGTCAGTCATCAATATTGTAAAGGATTCAGAGAGAGTATTATCAATCATCAATATAGTAGAAGATTCAGTAAGAGTATTGTCATTCATTAAAAAAAATATCAGTATTGTGATAACTGATTGAATAAAATAAATTTTTCTTTGATTATGATAAAACGCTAAAAGTTGATAAACTTGATATTGTAAATATTATTACTTCTAAATGTGGTTTTAGAAACTTTCTTAAAATACCAAGTACTGATTCTTTTTTGATTGATTCTGTTACTGAAGATAAGGTGTTGAATCTCATAAAAAGTGCTCTTAAAAATAATAAAAGCTTTGGTCCCTATAGTGTACCAACATTATTTCTTAAACTGGTATTTGACATTATCTCCAAACCTCTATGTATGATGATGTATAATTCTTTTAAAAATGGTATTTTTCCAGAAGCTTTTAAAAGTAGCCAAAGTAATTCCAATACACAAAATGGGTTCTCTTTTACAATACTTCAATCATCAACCTATTTCTCTTTTTTCCAACCTAAGTAAGTTGCTTGAAAAAGCAATGTTCGAAAGAATCAATCGTTTTTTGTAGAAATATAAATGTCTATTTAAATATCAATATGGTTTTTGCAACAAACGCTTGAAAACATTAATAGAAATAACACAGAAAGTTAGTCAAGCCATCGATAATAAACACTTTGTGTGTGGAGTGTTCATTATTAAAAAAAATTATTTGATACAGGTAAGCACACAATCCTCCTAAAAAAATTGCAATTCTTTGGTATTAAATGGTTCCTTTTATTTGGTTTTTCTTTTATCTTTGTAATAGAACACAATTTGTTTAAATTAATAGTATCAACTCAGAACTTGTTAAATCTTTTAACCAAGGCTGTAAAGTCGGAGTCGGAGTTGTAGATGCGGAGTTACTACATTTTTAGCGGAGTTACTACATTTTTAGCGGAGACGGAATCGGAGTCGGACTCGCTATACAAAATTGCGACTCCGACTCCTATAGTAAAACTTCTCGGTATTGCACGTGCATGTACAAAACATTCAATCAACCTTATGTTCATACTAAATCTCAAAGAATGTTTCATAAATTTGTTAAAAAAAACTTTTTAACATACTGCGTAATATCTTTTTAAGAATTTAAAGAGTTTTTAAAAAGTTTTGCTTTGAAGTCGGAGTTAAAGTTCAAGTTTTAAAAAAAATTTTAACAATTGGAGTCGGAGTCGGAGTTGTACTCAAAAAATTCCAACAACTGGACTCGGAGTCGGAGTCGATACTTTTTTTTTACGACTCCACACTCCTGCTTTTAACAGTGTTCTACAAGGCTCAGTTTTAGGACCATTACTTTTTCTTGTTTTTATCAACGATTTAAATGTTTTACTTCAATTTTGTACTGCGTATCACTTTGCAGATGAGACCAACTTGTTCCTAATTAATAAATCACTTAAAAAACTTAAAAAAGACATAAATCACGATCTATATTGTTCAATGATTCTACTAAAATAAATTATCCCTTAAAAAATTTTAACTATAATTTAAGATCTGCTTTCAACTTTAAGTTATCTGTTCCTAAATATCAAATTCTTCATTACGGTTATGAATCTATACAACATAAAAGCATACAAACATGGAGTAATCTCCCTTCCCAACTAAAATCTCTTGAATGATTCTCAAAATTTAAAACTGCTCTCTTTAACTATTTTTTAGAAAAACATTGTTTATAAATCTTACACTTTTTTTCAACTTATTATTTATAACCCTAACTCTTTGCTTCTATGTATCTAATTTTCTTTTGTTATGATACTAATTTGAATATTTAATATATGTATTTATATCTCTTTTGTTATGATACTAATTTTAATATTTTTTGTTAAATTTATTATTTTATTTTTCTTAAACTTAAATATTTTTATTAGTACTCTCTTCATCACTATTATTGTTGTCTTATTACTATATTATTGTTGTCTTATAACTATATTATTGTTGTCTTATTACTATATTATTGTTGTCTTATTACTATATTATTGTTGTCTTATTACTATATTATTGTTGTCTTATTACTATATTATTGTTGTCTTATTACTATATTATTGTTGTCATTACTATATTATCGTTGTCTTATTACTATATTATTGTTGTCTTATTACTATATTATTGTTGTCTTATTACTATATTATTGTTGTCTTATAACTATATTATTGTTGTCTTATTACTATATTATTGTTGTCTTATTACTATATTATTGTTGTCTTATTACTATATTATTGTTGTCTTATTACTATATTATTGTTGTCTTATTACTATATTATTGTTGTCATTACTATATTATCGTTGTCTTATTACTATATTATTGTTGTCTTATTACTATATTATTGTTGTCTTATTACTATATTAATGTTGTCTTATTACTATATTATTGTTGTCTTATTACTATATTATTGTTGTCTTATTACTATATTATTGTTGTCTTATAACTATATTATTGTTATCTTATTACTATATTATTGTTGTCTTATTACTATATTATTGTTGTCTTATTACTATATTATTGTTGTCTTATTACTATATTATTGTTGTCTTATTACTATATTATTGTTGTCTTATTACTATATTATTGTTGTCTTATTACTATATTATTGTTGTCTTATTACTATATTATTGTTGTCTTATTACTATATTATTGTTGTCTTATTACTATATTATTGTTGTCTTATTACTATATTATTATCAGTATAAAAACTATTATTCTTACTGTTGTTAATATTATTATTATTATTATTATTATTATCACTTTATTATTATTGAATTTTACAGATTGAATTTAACTTTAAACTTATTACTATTTGAAAAAGACCTTGATGTAACAACTTTATTCAGAATGTATTTAATTTTTTGATTTTTTTTAAATATCAAGTTTAGATAAAGTTGATATTAACGTTGAGTTTAATTTACTTTTACAAGTAGTAAATGCAATAAGCATTAATATTTACAGTTAAAATAAGTATACATCCAATCAACGAATCAATACATTCAATCAATCAATCATTACATCTAATCAATAAATCAATATAAGTCATATAAGAAAAATCATCCAATCAACAGGAGTGTTCTAGTTCACATGATAAATCAAAATTTGAATAAAAACAATCTACAACATGAAAAAAGTGTAAAATATATATATTATCTAAAAATCGTCAAAAAAAAAAAAAAAATTGATAAATTAAAAAAAAAAATACACACAAAAATCATAATATAATTAGAAAAAACAAAACAACATTTTATCACAGTAACATTTAAAAAATTTGTGAATCACAATGTTTATGTGTATTTTGCAAATTACCCCCAAGGTTCTCGATGATAAGACTTATTCAGTCTTCTTCGAGTTCTCTATGACAACATAATGTATCTTATTAAGTCTTTCATAATATATTCAACTAATGTTTCCTAAAATTTTTTTTTCTTCTTTCTTAACTAAGTGTTATTTTCTATTTTTTTGTTACATATATTTTAGCAGTATTTGATTAAATATAATCTTTTGTAGCGGAAGTATATTTGACTTATATTATGATGTGTAAAAAATTAATACTAGTTGTGAAAATATTAAAAAAAATTAAAATGGCACACAAGAAAAAGCTATTCCATTTATCGAGTAAGATAATAAGTTGTTCAACGAAAGATTTGTGTTTTACAGTTTAATACTTCATTAACGATTTATTTAAATATTATAATAAAAGTTCATTTAGAGGCATGACTAAATGAAAAGTTCATTTAGAGGCATGACTAAATGAAAAGTTCATTTAGAGGCATGACTAAATGAAAAGTTCATTTAGAGGCATGACTAAATGAAAAGTTCATTTAGAGGCATGACTAAATGAAAAGTTCATTTAGAGGCATGACTAAATGAAAGTTCGAAGCATCGAAGGAATCTTCAAAGATTTATATTTTTTGTAGTACAAATATCTTTATATCAATTTTTTTCCGTGTTTATATTTAATCTTAAATCAATTAATAAAAATGTATTGTTACTTTTAGAAAACATTAAAATTTAAATATAACTTTTTTTTTAATTAAATATCAATGAACTTTGCGATTTTGCCCATTATAAAGTCTGAACTTTTTAAACTCATATGTTTAGTAAACCTTTTTTTTTGTTCTAAAAACACCAGGGCTCCTCTAACTAGAACTCAACTTATTTCAAGCATTATCTATTTCAAAAACAAATTTGTTTTGCAAATGAATACTTTTAAAGACAATAAGTTACAAGAGACGTATTAAAAATTTTGTGCAAACTTTTTTCATTAAGTTTAATGTTCTCCTCCTCTGTGTAAAAAATTATTTTACTAATTTTCCTTCTTTTCAGCCCCCTTCTCTGTTTAAATGTTAAAAAGTTAAACGTCTTCCACGTTATACTTTTTTGTCGTCATTTATTTTCACTTTTTTGTCGTCACTCTGTCGTTATTTACATTTTTTTACATTCTTGAGATTATAGAAAGTCACGAATTTTGCTTCAGTCAGTCAGTTGTTGTCTCTTTTTAGGGACATCAAAAAAATAAGCATCAAGGAAAACCTTTTTAAACTTTTTTTATTCAAGATTTGATCAAGATTGGATTAAAAAAAATCTTTAGATTCATACCTAAGGCGCCAAAAACCTAAATGAGCCACTGATAACAGATTTTATAAAAAAAACCAAGTTATTCGCAATATTTTTTTTTTAATTCGTTTTATTTTAATTAATTTTTTTTAAATGAAAAAAAAAAGAAAATGAGGAAGAAGTTATTTACAAAAAAATCCCCATCTATTTTTTAAAGAAAAACCCGATTGTTTTGTGAATGATAAGTTCAAAACATCTGTCCAGGCTATTTTGTTTACAAAAGAACGAAGCAAGCGTGCGATGTTTTCGTGAGTAAGCGCGTTTCCTGAAGAAATTTATTTTTACCTCTAACTTATTAAACTTATAAAAATGGCAATGATGACTCATAAAAAAAAAGAAACAAGGTAAATTTTTTAAACTTTATAATTAAAATCTTTTACACTAACAAAAAAAAATGTTGGATATATCTGAAAGCTAAAAATATGATGAGAATAGAATATAAAACTTTTTGTTATAACTGTATGAAAAAACTCTGCTTACTTTTGGGTAGGAAAAAAACAATCTGTTTAGTTATTTATTTTATTACTTAGTTATTTATTTTTGGTTGTCAATCCTAGTATAATGTAGTTTAATGAGCCGCAAAAAACTATTTTGCGGTTGGGTGTAATAGTTGTGAGACTCGAACATTTCAGCTATTAACTTGCTACTAACGAGTCCGAGACCAATTTAGAGTCCATTCTTCTATATCTTTTGCATATTATTAATGTAACTTGGTAATAAAACTAATAGATTTCACTAATTGCCATTCTGGAGACCGTTTAATAAAAGTTGTTAATTTTATTAATTATTTATCTATTAATTAAGAGTTGCTTTTAAGTAAACAAATTTTAAGCCAAGCATTGTTTCGACTAGATGTTTTAGAAACAGAAAGTTTTACTCAAAAAAAGCTTTACTCAAAAAAAGTTTTACTCAAAAAACTTTTCAGAATTATAAAACTAGCTTGTAGTTAAAAGACAAACTTTGAAAAAAACTATTATTATATTGTTTTTTTTTTGTTTTGTTTTTTTAAATTAAGCACAAATAAAAATAGTATTTCTGTGTGATTTTAATCTTATAGATGAGAAAATATATGTACAGAACAACCTTTGAAAGGCTATAGTGCTGCTGGTGGTTCGGTTTTATCCAAGACTTAACAAAAAAGATATTATAATTCTAAAATTATTTATTTGCATTCTAAAATATTTTTCATTCGATGAAAAATTATTACACCTTTATGTATACCTTTCATGTTAGGACCATTATCGTAACCCTGTCTTCTACAGTTTTCTTAACCTAGTTTCTCATTTTTTAATAGTCTCTCAATTTTTGTAGATAATCCTTTTCCAGTAGGGTAGTTCACTGGTTCAAAACAAGTAAATCGTTCTTTTATACTCACATCTTCAAAGTTATCTACATGAAGATATCTTTAATAACAGATAATTGTTATTTATAGCTAAAATCTAGAGTGCAATCTAACAAAATTGTGAAATACTTGGCTTGTTTAACTTCTTTTATTATTTCACTTCTAACTTTTTTAGCTAAGTTACAAATCAGCTTATCTTGTATTCTTGATTATCTGTTATCTTGTATTCTATGAGATAAATAGGTACCAATTCAACACATGCTGTTTCATTATTGGGTCAAGTTTTCCAAGCAATTCAATGAGACCCAAGAAATTGCCGTTATGCGAGGTATATAAAACATCACTATATCCTTTAAACGCAAAATTATGCTTTTATAAATATAGAATACACGTAACTATTTGTTCACAAACACATATTTTAAGCGCTGTGTTTCATACTTAATTATTTTTTCATGTTCTATGTCAATAGTTCTTCCGAGTTTAAAATCATTTTCTAGCTGTAACAATTTGTACGTGGCTTGTAAATGGTGTTCTGATCTTTCATGACTTTGTAATTGAAAACTTAAATGTGCCCAATCATTTAATCCATTTAAACAGAGAGCAGCGGTATTTGCTCAGAATAATTTACATGCATAATAGAATGTGGAGTCCTTAGTTTTGGAATATGATAACCACTTTCGTTTGTGCTATTCCCCATTCGTTAATTTTCTTTAACAATAGCATTCTGAAAAACTTCTATTATTATAATCTTTCGGATAATCGTAACTTTACACTTGTATTACGGCATTTTGTATAATTGTCATTCTAATTTTATCACTTATATTTTCGGCCAAGTGCCGGGATCATTGATAGTAATAATAGTTTATCACCTTCGTCGATATCTTGATTGTTTTTAAGCTGGAAACTTTTCACTGACAAACTTTTTCATTTTGTTTATTTGATATTGATGAGAAGTCTTCTTTGTTTACGTTTCCCTCTGCTTCATTAACATTTATCTTTTGTTGAATTGTCGTATCTACGCTTTCATCATCATTAAAGATGGTACTAGGTATATGATAATTATTATTAATTTCTTGCACCTTTTTTGGTTTTGAAAATTTTGCCAGACTGTCTCTTTGTTTTGCCGCAGCTTCTTCTCATTTTCTTTTCTTTTTTAATTTATCATAACAACACGAATACATTCGTCCAGCATCTCTTTCCCTAGAAATCATTTTTAAAAATTTTCTAAAAACAATTTTGGCTATTATAAAGAACAACGCAATAAGATTTGTCGGGAAAAAATATTCAAAAAGTGTAAAATTGATGAGAAAATTTAAAAAAGTTTTTAAACGTTAAAAAAATAAAACGTTTTTTTTTATAGTAAATTATAAAAATAGAACGTTATTTTACTTATTTACAAAAATAGAATGCATTAGTCGAAAATTATAAAATAGAACATTTTTAGTAATAGTAGAACACTTTTAGAGGAATGTCAAAAAGCTTGTTTTGTAATATAGGGTTTTCTTTTATTCTATTGTATATGAAATACAATATGGTTCAAAATACATATATAGTGCGCATGCGTTTTTTAAACATTATTGTTACTTTGTTTATAATATACATTTTTTTCACATCGAAAAAATATGCCAACTTTGTTATGCCAGATTTTAAATCCAAATGACCTTTCGAAACGCAGAGACCTTCGGAATCGCGAGGCCGTATGTGACTGCACTGCTTGCACTGCCCTCCGACCCGCTCTGTATAGGGTAATACGGATCATAATAAGAGAGATCGCATTTATCATAATGTTATTTCCAAAATTTATTATATATATAATATATATATATATATATATATATATATAATATATATATATATATATATATAATATATATATATATATATTTACACATATATATAAATATATAAATATATATATATATACATATATATATAATATATATATATATATATATATATATATATATATATATATATATATATATATATATATATATATATATATATATATATATATATATATATATATATATATATATATATATATATATGTATATATATATATATATATATATATATATATATATATATATATATATATATATACATATACATATACATATATGTATATATATATATGTATATATATATATATATCAAAGGAACATCGTAAAAAAAAAAAAAAAATTTTGTTCAAGACTTGAAAATGTTTCTCTGTTCTTTTATATACCACCATTTTATTTAGGATTTCAAAGTTCTCTCATTTGTATTTGACGACCGTCAAATCAAAATGTGTTAAATAATAGTGTTTTTTTTGCTAAAAAAATGCTTACTCCTCCCACATATTTTCTCATATAAGTTTTCTTTCGTCATAAATCTAAAAATAAAATAAAAAAATATCAAAAATCAGATATAGAGAGATATGGAAATTGTGTAAAGTATTGCAACTTATAATTTCAATCATTTTTGTTTCTGTAGCTAAAAAAGGTAAACATTTTTATAGGGATTTTTTTTCATTCGTTTAAATAAATTTAATGTATAATTTAATATGCCGCAAGTTAAATATATAAATAAAATCAACGCATATTATTAGGGGGGGGTCCATAATCGTATTTTTTTAAATTTTTTATAGTTTAACCAATTTTTCTTAATTAGTTTTTCATGCTGATTCTGAAAATCATAATCATTTTTTTTTTCATTTTAATTATTTAGCCTTCTACTTCGATTTTAAAAAAAGTGAATATATTGACAAAAAAAGGCATTGTTAAAATTAGATGAAATTATTATTATCATTAAATATAAGAAAAATAGAAAACTAGAAATCTTTTTCTGTTTAATTTATCAATAATATATCTTATAATTTATAAGTAACAAAAAAAATTAAGCGTTATATATGAAAATAATTCATACAGTTTGTTATTTACTATTGAAAATAGAAAATAACTATAATAGTCATCATATGTGATAAAGATTGCTGCGTGAACTTTCCTTATATCTAGGTTATGAGCGTGTTCTTTGGTAGACATAAGATGGAGGTTTGTACTTTTATATCAACAATCATGTATTTAAACAGAATAGACCTCCGCGATAATGACCTACATTGTATCCCTAAAATAAAGAACACATTTTTCGAACTTTTTTTTCATTTTAACATATCTTTATCTACTTCAATAATGTCTAGTTCACAGCTAAATGGGCTGCCTTATAACTTTAATCAAGCTAAAACAGAACTCATCTTGCACACCTGATATAAAGTTTGCTGCTCTTCCATTTTTATTCATTTATTTTTGTAGCTGGTTTCAACTATATTCCATAGTTTCAACTTTTTGGACAAATAACTAAACAATAATTTTCCAAAATATTTTTAAACTGCGCGAACCTTCATTTTTTATATGGTTTAAATAATTAAGTATACATCTGTTGAAATTAAATGGGTTTTTTTCAAAGCTTTCCAACTGCAACAACTTAATTAGAAAGTTAATACTAATCATATTCCATCATCAACCAAACACATAATACTTTTCTCTTTTTTGAAGTCCTGAGGCTAACTTTTGCCAAAATACTCTAGCAAGAATGATACAATCGTTCTACCTCTTTGAGGTGTACTTATTAACTGCTTCTAGAATTTTTTTTAACTGGTTATTCACTACGTTTTAGAGTAAAGCAAAAAATTTTAAAATTTGATCACCCAGTTTTTTTTTTTAATAAAGCCTTTTAGGTAGCGGTGTTCCTTTAGCCTGTTTATCTTTAGAATTGTTAAAACTTTAGAATTTAACTGAACTTCTACTGACTGGCATTTTAAAAGAAGATTTATTCTTGACTTCATTAAAGAAAAGTGAAAAATAAAATGAAATCTTGAATAGCCTTCTTGATAGCTTGAATAACGATTAAAAATAAATAAAAAAAAGGAAAATTAAGATATTTTGAAGCAATCTGTCTTCTTGATTACTTTAAACGCTTTGTTTAGAAAGAGACTTCAGATAAAACTTTTTTCTTGAAGCAATCTGTCGTTTTACTTATTTAAAACGTTTTTTTAGAAAAAGACTTCAGATTAAACTTTTTTTTTCTAAAACGCAACTATTAAAAATCAAATTTATCCAATCAAAATTTGAAAAGCACAAAAGTTGCGCAACTTTATACGCAAAGAAACTTTTGCAAAGACGTTTATTTTTTATATCTTTAAATTTTAAAAATAGAAGTAGAAGGTCAACCCTAAAAAATTAGCAAAAACTGAATTGTTTTTTAAACTTTTCTCAAAAAATTAATTAAGAATTACTGGTTAAAAAAGAAATATAGAATTTTGGAACCCCCCCCCCCCTAATATTATTCGTTGATTTTATACGTTTATGTATCAAATTTACATAAATAAAGAGTAATTAATAAGTATATATTGGCCCTTATGATAGTTACATACCAAAGGCTTCAATTGGTAGCCTCCCAGTGGGCAAGGGACGTAAAAAAGACGTCTTTTAAATGTCTTTTCAACGTTTTGAACGTCTTTTAAACGTTTAAAAGACGTATTTTTTAGGTCCTGTGCCCACTCGACTACGGTAACATGTGGTAAGAACTAATTTTTTTTTTTTATTTAGCTATGAGAATAATTTTCATTTAATTTTTAAAAATTTAACTCATTTAATTGATAAAAAATAAAGTTATTTTATACTATTATTATTACATATTTGAGGAAGTATGCAAACCGATGGATAATTAACAAAACACTAAATAATAATAATAATAATAATAATAATAATAATAATAATAATAATAATAATAATAATAAAAAGTAACTAATAGCAATAAAATAAATAATAATAAAATAACAATTAAAAAAACAAAACAGTTACGATAAATTCTTGCAACAAAAAACTTTAGCAAGCTGTTTTGGTTTAAAAAAATGTTTCGTGGTTTATTGAGATACTCCCCACCGAATCTGGGCATTTTTTTTTTTTTTTTCTTTTTTTGTCATCGTTTTGGGTCGGAAACATTTGTTGCCAAGCTGTTAAGTCAAGAAGGTTAGTTGCAATATTGAAGGTTATTTGCAATATTGAAGGTTGTTTGCAATATTGAAGGTTGTATGCGATATTGAAGGTTGGCTTCAATATTGAGGGTTGGCTGCAGGTAAATTGAATTTGAATTTGACTTTGGAGCTAATGCTATAAAACGTATGATGTGATGCTAGATATTGAAGGTATAAATTTAAAAAATAGTGGTTGAGTTGGTGTAGTTACTAATGCTGTACGCAATTGTGTTTGTAGTGGTAGTGGGATAGATTTTGATGGTTGAGATGATAAAGGTTCAGGCTAATATAATAGCGTTTCAAACGCATTATCTATTAGCAATTTTGAATAATCAATTTTAAAACAAACAAAAAAATACTCAAAACTTTGCCACTTTTTGCATGCGTGTTTAAACTTTACCAGAGTTGAGAAGCTTTGCTTGCAGTTATCTATAATACTCTTTGAAAAATTTGTCGACTTTGTCTTTGCATAAAACTTTTAAATTTTTGCCAAAATCTTTCGACATGACAATATTGACACCTAATGACTATAATAAATAAGCAAGCTTATGTGATTGTCTAAGCAAACTTAAAATAAGAAATAAGCTTAAAATATGTGATAAGCAAAAATATATGTGATAAATAAGCTTATAAACAAACTAAAATATGTGATAAGCAAAAATATACGTGATAAATAAGCTTATAAGCAAATTATCAATAGTTTTAGATTCAATTAACCCCTGATAGCCAGTGACGGATTTAGCATTATTTGGTGTTTGAGACTTCCAGACATGGAGCAAACTCCAAATATTTGTATGTTCATACTTATGTCAAATAATGATGCTTCGCAAAAAATTACAATGATTGGACGCTGGTAAAAAAAAAGAGCCCTAAAATTTTATGGGGATGAAATTTTAGGGCTCTTGCTTATAAAACAAGCGCTTTTGTGTATGACAAGCGCTCTTATGTTGACGTCACAATAAAGTTCTAATAGCTAGTTTCACTTCCAAAAGTTTAAATTTTTTTTCTTTTTTAAAATGAAGTAAAAAATAAAAATAATAGGCGGCCGAAAATTTAACAATTTATGAAAAAGTTTTTTATTAAAATTTTATATCGTCTTATTCAGAAAAAGATTCTCTAGAACACAATCAAAAATTTTTTTGCCAAAAGTTTATTTAATAATTTATTACGAGCTAAAGAATAAACATTTTTCAACTACTTAATTATAGGCTGAAGCCGTTATATTATTATTCAAACATTATCGTTATATTATTATTCAAGAGATAAATTTTTCCAACTACTTCATTAAAGACTGATTCATTATAATTTTCTCTTTTATAATTTAACTTATTCAGCAAGGAGACAAAAAAAAATCTCCAACATACTGCTTTAATAAAACATATTGCCCAAATATTTGATATCTGATTACTAGGTGTTCCAAGAAGATATAACGGTTTTATCAAAAAGCGCTGCGGAAGAGCATTTAACAAGGAAATTCACGTTATATTATCGTTATCGTTATATTATCGTTATATTATTACGTTATATTATCGTTATATTATTACGTTATATTATCGTTATATTATTACGTTATATTATCGTTGTATTATTACGTTATATTATCGTTATATTATTACGTTATATTATCGTTAACACCAAATCCAGATCTAGCATTAAACTTCGGACCTCTTAATTTCTAAACAAGTGCTAAACGCTTGTTTAGTAATCAATAGAAAAAAAAAATTAAATCAAATAACTTGATTAAAATTTTTTAATAAATTTGGTTCACAAAAGATTTCGCTTATTTTACTAAACAAAAGAATTGACATATTTTACGAAAAAAATTTATAGTTAAGTGCAAAAATTACTTAATTTAACATATTTGGTTAAATAAACAACACAAGCTTTTGCTGTGTACAATGTTACCAGCATTTTACAACGCATTAAATTAATTAAATCAAATTATTAATAAACTTTGTTTACACTTCCAAAGCACCAAAATTATATTTAGCAAAATAATTATTAAAAAATAAGAAAAAAAGCATCTTAATTTATACAGATTTTTGGATTTTTTATAAACTTCACAGCCATTGGCCTCAACGACTCATACAAATATCTTCAGCGAGATTTTTGAATAGTTTCATTGTCTATATATAAATAGACTTTTAAAAAACATCATTAAACTTTAAGAGAAAACTTGAGACTTTATCAAATAAGGGGAGCAAACATAATTATATATTCTCTTATAACAATTTGCTTAGAATTAAAAAAAAAATAGTGTGGTCTAAAGAATTAAAAGAAGATAACATTTTGTTCAAGGAAACAAAGTTGTTGAATTATTTATTATATTGACTCTTAAATTATATTTACATTAGAAATATGGATTATTTTATTTTTGTTAATTGAGCTAGTTACTATGAAGTTAAGTTCGCAGTTAGTGAAAACATCGTTTTTTTGTTGCAGACTAACGTTACTTAGGGTAAGCAATTAAAGAATTTTTTTGCTTCTTTTAGATGAATCTTCGATGTATGCAAACGTCACAAAAGTATAATAAACGCCTAGTAAGTATAAATTTTAAATTTTGACAAAAATTTACTTTATTTTAACAGGTGGTTAGGTATAATGGGTGTGTTTTTATTTATAAATGAGTCGGGCTCAGTAAACAAACTTATTTGAACGAAGCTGAAAAAAAGCTAGCAAAAGCTTTATTTTAAAAGTGTTAAGACAGTACATAGTTTAATGTTGCCATCTGTTGTTCGCCAGCAGAATGCTATCATGTTGCATGAAGAAAATAAATCACTAAACACTGATGTTTAAAACTTCAGTATTCCGCAGAATAGGGTTGAGTAATATGCAGAATTTAATTTCAGTCTATTTTTGCATAAAAATGTTATTTGGTTATTGTTATGATAATTTCTACCAATTAATTTTTTATTTCAATAGCCCGTAACAATTCACATTTACAATGAAATAATAAGTAACAATAACAAATTATAATTAAACAAAGCACAAACTAACAAATCAGCAGCATATCTAGAGATAGGTTAGTAATATGCGTCCCATTCAGTTGATTTTTAAAACATATAATTGCGTGTTAAAAAATTTGAAATATTTTCAATTTTACTTTCCCTCTTTCCCATCTTGTGTTTTTTGATGTTATCCATAGTAAATATTTCGATTTATAATTGATAGTGAATATTTGTTGAACTTGTGTTAAAAACTTATCGCTTACCATCATGTACCCTTTGGTGAAAGTGCATGATGATAAATCAGTATGTTTTCTATGCCTTAACCTATAAAATACTCTTTTTAATTGTTTTGCTTTTTTAGAATTTTTCTTTTTGCTATCCAAATATAGATTTTCTGTGTTACTGTTTATAAGCTTTCAAACATGCATAGCATGCAAGTTTTCTTTTATGTTTCAGTTCTAATGTAAATTTTTTATTTTAATGTTGATTTTTAAGGTTACTTAAATATTTTTTTCACTTTATAAATACATAATACACTTATAATACAAATTCATATTGTATTTAGTAGTATAACTTTCGTGTAGTTTTTAGATTCCAGCGGGTCGCTCAATCACAATTTTCATTTCATTTCATTTGTGACACATTTAACCAAACGCAAATTTTCTTAACTAATGTGTTCTTATGCTTCCGTAACGATCTTGCACGATTTTGTATTTTGTATTTACTATTTTACTTCAGTTTGAAAATTTAATTTAATCTGATCGGTGTTATTTTTTAACTCAGTTTGTTTGGTAATTTTATCATTGTTGTATTTTATCGATATACCAATCGTTATTGTTCGAGTTAAGCTCGATCCTATTTAAATTAGATTGTTTTGGACTTTTTCAGATTTGAAATCTTCATTTATTTTGTATTATAAGACTTTCTTTGATGTCTCTAACACATATGTATGATCCAAGTTTTTTAAACCTCATAGAAATCAAAAGATTTATAAAAAAACCTTATTTAAACCTCATAGAAATCAAAAGATTTTGTAAAAAACTTTTTTTTTATGAAAGATTTAGATTTTGTAAAAAGGAAAGATTCTTGTAAACCGATATGTTCAAATTTTTTAACTTTTAACCCTCATTTTTTTCTATTAGGGGAGGTCGGGGAAACGGTGGCCCCATAAGATTTTTTGCCATTTTTAGGGTTGTATTATAATGGTCTGAGCTGTTACTATGGCAGAAGAACTACTACAATGTATATTATAAAGTACTTTATTGGCAAATACGTACAAAAATTGATTAACGTGTTATTACAAGAAAATATTAAACAAAATGGCCGGTATTACCTCATAACTTTAAGCAGAAGCGTAGACAGAATTTTTTATTGTTCGAGATAGGTAACTTCCAGACATGGAGCAAACTCCAAACATTTATATCTTTATACTTACGTCAAATAATGAGGCTTTGCAAAAAATTGCGATCATTAGAGGCTGGGAACAAAAAAGCCCTAAAATCTTTGCCCCCTGCCCAAAACGTGAGAGCAACAAGTTGATAAAATATTTTTTATATTATTCTTAACTAGACTTATATTCATCAATAAATTTTAAGTTTCATAGTAAAATCTTTCAGCGTTTAATAATTATGAACTTACTTAATTTGAACTCCCCTCAATTTGATGGGTTACAAAATTTAAAAGGTCATAATTTATTATACAATTCTGTTTACGCCTCTGACTTTAAGGCAATAGTGGCAGTCTGGTCAGCATTACCCCAATTCTTCTCAATATTAATAATGAAAGTCGAATACTAATAATGAAGTAATTAGTCGAATATTAATAATGAAAACAAGAATAATAATTATTAAAAATAAGTTTTATAAATGTTTAAGAGAATAAGTTTATGAGTTTAAGAATTAATAAAAATAAGTAGTACAAAATTACTATTAAATACAATAGTCACAAATATAATTATTGTTTTTATGGAGAAGATCTGTATAGTCTTTGTGGGCCCAGTCACCACATACAGCACAGGTTACCCACCATTCTCGGTTTTTACCAAATTCCCCACAAACCAAACAAATATCTGAAAAGAATTTAAATGTTCTTAGATAGATTGAGATGTGTGACACAAATTACAATCTTTTTCAGTGAAATCTTAATCCTTCTCAGTAAAAGTTTAGTGAAATCTTAATCCTTCTCAGTAAAAGTTCAGTGAAATCCTTCTCAGGCTTTTTTAGTGAAAGGCTGCTTGACACCGATCAACCATCGACCATCACCGGTGTCTAGTAACACTGGTGAAGATTCATCTTCACTTTGTAAGAAAAAAAAATGTGAATAAAATAATTAATCTCCACAGAAAATGCACACAAATGAAGATTTGGAAAGAAGTCTAATTGCAAAGGAAATTGGTTTTTACATGAAACTGTTTGCTTAAATTGGACAGCTAACACATTAAGGTTATGGTTAGTAAACGCAAAACATTATCCTAAGAGAACTTGCTAAATTTTTTTTTATTTGAAGATGGCAGTGTAAATATAAATGGCTATTTTTGGAAGTATGTATAATTTATGAGAAAAAGCGCATTAATCATTTGCTATCATCAAATAATGAAATTGTTTTATCATAACTTACGATTTATAGATTTTATGTATCAAACATGTTAATTATTTGCTAAAATTAAAAAAAAAAGAATTATTATATGCCTCATTTGGCATAGGTATGAACGTACTTAAGTTTGAAGTTTGCACAATTGGTGAGTGTCATATCTGAAACATAAAAAAAATCCTGCAGACGCTTGTGTGAACTGCCAATAAATGATATCAAAGACATTTATTATGACAATAAAGACAATTATTTTGCCCACCAGATATGGCGCCTCACAGAAAAAATGACAACAACAATAAGATTTGTTGACATTGTTCAATCTTGAAGAACTGCATCATTTCAGTCTGATGATGATGAATTCCTTGAAAGTAGCATACATGAAGTAAAAGAGCAATTTTTAGGATTTTAATTAACACAGACCATAGGTGAAGCTATGAGCCACGTTCTGGTAAATTAGCTATAAAGTTTGTTATTGTCAATTGGTGATTTAAGAAGTCAGCGTTATGATAATGGGAGCAATATGAAAGGAAAGGAAATAGTAAAAAAAAATTAAATTGGACAATCCTTATTGCGTTCCTTTTAAATAAAAAATAATCTGCGCAAAATACTGTTAAGATATTTTTATATATAGAATAGCTTAATGATCATGATATTATCCGATTTAAAGGTCAACGTAAAATAAATATGTAAGAATGTATAATAATTTTTTTCTAATTCAAAGTTTTAAAAATTTTATTCAAATTTAGTTTTATTTATATGATTTTAATCAATGTTATTGTTCACTTGTTTTCACTTTGTGCATTGATCACTCGTTTTCATTAATGCCTTCACAATTGTGGACACACAGTTGCATATCTGACGTCGATGTTCACAGTTGCGGACTTTTGTATATCTGGAATTTGACGTCAATGTTCTACCACAGTTTGTAAAATGTACTGCAATTCAACTCATCTTTTTGACAATATTTTTTTATAATCTGAAACAAGATTCACACGTCTTTTGCACGTGTCATTCACAACTATCATAGATTAACAGTTTTTGTGCTTCCTGGTATTCGGTTACAGTACTTTATATGTCTTATGACAATGTTCCTTCATAAATATCCAATTTATTCCCTAGACTTCAAAGACATATTTTGATGTCTTTGTTACAAAGTTATCTAAGTTCTTGCTTACAATTTTATCTAATTATCCCTTGCCTTTTTTACCTGGGTTTTTTGGCTTGCTTTTCAAGTGCAATCAACATTTGTTTAGTTTTGTTATTTTTTTAATTTAGTTAAAAAGAGACTCACAAGGTCTTCAGTTAAATACCATAATTGTCCTTCAATTTCATGGCAGATTCAGCCACTTCTTAGTCAAGTATTTTGAAGTTACTCAATTTCATAATCAGTGTCAGGTCACTTTGAGGAATAGATAAAGAGTTAGATTGCAGCCTATTTGCAGCAAGTTTTACTGCTGATAGTACAAGCGAGCAATACACTTTCAAAACTGCATCAATTAAATACCATGATTCAAAATTAAGTTTACTCCACTGATCACGAAATTGTTTAAACAATTTAACTCTGGACCAAAAGATGGTCCAAAACGAATTTTGTAAACATGGAATGAAATCACTTCATGAACATGGTTTTAATAGGCTGTGTATAGTAAAGACAATTCTTATTCTTGATGTTCTTGTTTATATTCATAATCAAATGAACTCATACAAACAAGAAGCCTTTTCTCCTTTTTCTTTGTAGTATAAGAAACGTCTTGTCTTCTTCCATTGTGATTAATTTTAAAGCACCCATCATGAGCAATATCAAGTAGTGCTTTGATTTGTTGAGAAAAATTTTCTTAATTTCTTTACTTAATTTTTGTTTTGCGGCCATCATTTTTTTCCAGCTTTCCATATTTCTCAACAAATTTGTCAATATGTGTTTTCAACGTTACCATTCAACATGGTAACGTTGCTTTTTTGGAATTCTTGCTCTTTTCCAAAAGTCTTGAAAGTGATCTATCACAAAGCCTACAATGTTGTTATTTTTAGAGAAAAAAAAGTTAAGACTTGTATTTTAGATGGAATCTTGTGCCCTGTGATCACAGGTGTAGCATGAAAATACACCCAAGGCCAGTACGAAGGTGTGTGTGTGTGTGTGTATGTGTGTGTGTGTGTGTTTGGAGAAAGGGGTGAGTGAGGTTGTGACATCCCCAATTATAGTTGTTTTGTTCATTTAGTCGGCAAATTTGAGCCTCTTAGATTAGTCAGTCGGAAAATGTGGACCAGTTAGCTTAAAAATTTCAAAACACAAGGAAATATTTTTTTTTTAGTCAGCAAAAATTGTAATGGCACCCACCTTCCCTCTACGTATCACCTCGCGCCGGCCCTGAATACACTACACTTCATTTTGACTTCTAGTCTTCATTTATTTTAATAATTAAATTAACTTATATATCTGAATAATAATGTGTTTTAAAAATGTATTTTCATTCAAGACAATGATATCATTTGTAATTTCAGGGTGATGCAATAGTTACAGCAGTAGTGCAATACTGATGTAAAAGCTTAACTGGATGATAAAATATTGCTCTGGGTGTTCTGAATACCAGCATTTTATTTTTAACTTATTTTATTTTTAACTTATTAATTTTCTGAAAAATCTAACAATATTTATGTAATAAAATACTGATAACATTTTCAATTTAATTAGTAAAATAGAAAAGATAAATAATAAATTATGAAAAATCTGGGTTCGAGCAACCTTACAAACTTAAAAAACTGGGGTGAGCAACTCCTAAGCATCAAAAGATTGTATCTAAAATTTCCTAATATTTTTTTTTAAATTTTCCAATATTTTTTTATTAAATGGAATAAAATAAACGGTTGAGAGCATAAGAAAAAAAATATATATTAAGTATTTTTATTTATATTTTGTCTTTTTAGGTCACGATTGTTCTATGTCTTTCATGCGTTTGCACAATATTCTGCACACTTAGTCTTGTTTATTTAATTGCTGAAGTTGACAAAAATCTTAGCAGGCTTGAAGATTGCAGTTTTAATCATAGCAACAGCATTTGCTCTTGTTACATCACCAATAGCGAAGATAAGCAGCTGTTTCGTTTTTCAGACGATTGTCAGTCCGTAAAAAAAGATCTTCGCAGTCTTGTTTACGGCGTATGTGTATTGTTTGGAATAGGATGCATTATATCAATTACTTCAGGAATTTCGTCGTTTTGTTTGCTTTTTAAACAAGAGGTAAGTCTTAACTCGTCAAAAAATGGAAAAAAAAAAATGTTTTCTTTTTTTCTAAAATTAAATTTCTGTTTAAAAAAAATTATTTTTAGTCGCAAGATGAGATTGTCGAAGAATGCGCATCACCGGTAACACAAACTTGCGTAAGATCTTTAGCATCTCGATCTATATTTAATAGAACAATATTTCAAAAACAAACAGAACTTAATCGAATCTCTATTGGAACTCAGACACCAAATTTTTTGATTTCAGGCTCACATATGGTTTATAATTCTTCGGTTGATACACTGAGTATAGATTTTTTAATGCACGATTACGTGCCCCCTCCTTCTTATAATGATATTGTACAGACGATTTCTCCTTGCTAAATTTCTAAATATTATTATTTATCATTAGTTTTTTTGATTATGTTGTTACGTTACAAATAAAAAAGGCTTCAAATAATACATTTGAGCAATATAAACACATTTATTAAAAAAAAAGCTATGGAGTTGAAACTGTTTGTTCTAATCTAAAGCTTGTATTCAATCTAAATCTTGTATTACTTTTTTCTAAAGCCGGTAACCGGTAATTTCATTCTATTTAAGTTTTTTTTTTTTTTTTTTGAATATAATTACATTATGCACATAAATTTTTACAAAGTTGAAAATGAAATCAAACGAAATAAAAAAGACCTAATATTTGCGGTGTTTAAAGGAGCCGTCACTTTGTATATAAGCCTAAAAAGATATTGTGCCATTGTCTAAAACTCTACTCCGGCATGTTAAGAACATGCTGGTTTTGAAAAAAACAAAAAAAATTGTTTAACCCAAATATGGCTCAACATTTCTTTTTGTAAAAAATGTTAAAACTTAGTACTAAAATAACTTAATTTGTAAGCAAGGAACCAGGTTTTAAAAAATATTTTTTACTTCTAATGGTAAAATTGCTTGAGGTACAAGTACGTATTTTCGTTAAAGACTAACTTATTGACAATAAAAATGTTAAAAAAAGTTCTCAATTATCTTCTTCGCTGCTGTTGTGTTGAGCGTGTCCTTCAAGGTTTTTGTTCTTGTTCTTTATCTGTTGTCATGGCAGCTCTTCCTCTTTCAAGTGAAACAATACGATAAAATAAGGTTACATTCTTAGCTAAATTTATTTATGGCTCAAATTAAAACAAAATTAAAACGTTTATCAAACTTGGCAGGTCAAACTACACTGTTAAAAAATTCGCTGTAGATTCTACGGAGATTGTCCGGCAGCAAAGCGACAGCACTTTCTCCGTAAATTTAACGGTTTCCGTAGTTTCTATTTTCCGAAAAAATCAACGGAAAAAGTCCGTTAAAATAGTAACAAAACTTTCTCCGTAAAATTCACGGTTTTCGTATTTTATTTTTTCTGTACAAAATAACGGAGAATGTCAGGCAGCAATGAGACAGGTTTCCGTATTTCATTTTTTACATGCAAATAAACGGAAAAAAACTCCGTTAATTCAGCAAATAGACATTTACTAAACTTATTTATCAGAGTTTACGCTAAAGTCAAAAATAAATGAATAGAATTTATATGTTGATGAATGCGCATTGATTCAACTAGAACAATCTGTCTTTAAGTAAAAATAAATGTTTTAATAAAAAACATTAATGAACGTGGTATATTTCAACATTACAACAACCCTTGCAAAAGATCAATGTACCCCATGCAATGGGGCACTATGATCTCCGATATGGGGCGCTTTGATCTTATATGAGTAACATTATTTACATGTTTAATACTGCTATACCTAAGTGCAACAAATGCATTAGTTGAAGGCTATTAGTGTATATTATATAATACATCTAAAAAAAAAGTAAAATTTAAAACATATATATATATATATATATATATATATATATATATATATATATATATATATATATATATATATATATATATATATATATATATATATATATATATATGTATATATATATATATATATATATATATATATATATATATATATATACACATATATTTATATATATACACATATATTTATATACATATCATTACAACCTAATACACATCAGTGTATAAAGTTTACATTAGAAGAATAACCACAATTCTATCTATGAAAATAAGCCCGTTATATACTACTAACATATATATGTGTTAAGTTTTACAAAACTGGAAGCTTATAAAGTCTATAAGAATACAGTATTTTAAGTTTACAAAAAAAATACAAGATTCATACTAGAACTAAAGTTTACAAGATTATTTTTTTATATTATCATCCTTTGTCAAAGTCAAGTCGTGATGCTGCTTTTACATTACATTGTTTTTTGTTCCTAAGCAAGTAGTTTTTAACTTTTCCCCTTTTTTATCTTTTGCGATAAGTTTCTTCTGTTGGTTGATTTGTTTAAAGGGTTTTCTTTTTTTCTGACAAACGAATTTCATTTCTGATTGGAGTATCAGTCAAAATCCTTGTTTTTAATTGCCTACTTTTAACATTTCTTTTTCTAGCAGATGCTTTCGGGTAAGGTTTCAAAACTTCAGGTGAGAGTAATGAAGCAATACTTGGTGACACTTTGTTCGAAAAACTTGTTTCATGATGTACTACAGGCATTTCAGGCTCTATGCTATCAACATGTGCTACAGTCATTTCAGGTTCCACAAGAATTGTGTTTACTACATTTGGAGCAGCACGATCTGTAACTGATGATGGTAAATATACATCATCTTTAAAAATTTCTGGATTAAATGGCTAAATGCCAGCTACTTGAAATCCTCTCTGTATATTAGATGGTGAGAAAGCTTTTGTATATGGTTCGCGAACTATTGAAACAATATCATAAATGGTCATAGGTCTTGGATTTGTGACCATCCAATTATCACACGCAGCATTGTAAAACCTTTTCAATGGTTCAAAAACAGTTCTATCCAATGGTTGCAATTTATGGGCACAATGGGGAGGAAAACTTAGCATTGTAATTCCTTGTTGAATTGCAAGATCCAAAGCTCTAACAGAAATATGACTTTTATAGCTGTCCAGAAGTAACAAAACTGGAGATTCATGAGAACAGTTTGAATACTTCATAAAAAGTTTTATCCATTCTATAAAAATGTCTGAAGTCATCCAACCAGAAGGATTTGCAAATCCCACGCATCCAGGAGGATCTTCTTTTATCATGTAATCATGAAATTTGACCCTAGGAAAAACAAATAGTGGAGGAATAGAGTTTCCAATTGCATTTGAAGCACAACATACAGTTACTAATGTTCCTCGTTCTGCAGATGTGATTCTTCCTACTTGTTTACTTCCTTTACCTGCTAATACTTTTACTGGCTTTTGTACTGTTGTTAAACCAGTTTCATCAACATTATATATGCAATAAGGATCAAACTTATTTCGATTTCTTACTGTTTTTAGATTTTGGAAAAATTCTCCAACAGTGTGTCGGTTAAAGGCAGTTGATCAAGCAAAGCTAGTTGCTTCAGGTGTTCGTAAAGACAACTCTGGTTGTCTTTTCATAAAACCTTGCAACCAATCAATCCCTGCAATTTTATTCTTGATCTATGATGAAGGGCAAATCTTATTATTTTTTACAGCAAACTCGCGATACATCAATCGTAATACAATATCTTTTTAAGGTCATTCGATTTATTCACTGGTCTGCTCTCTAAAACTTCATTAACAGCTGATTTCATTCACATGATATAGCAACTCTGTACATCTAAATAATAATAATTAGATCAGATTAATAAATCATTATTTATAGTAAAAAAAAAGAAAAAAAAGTAATGTTGAAAAATTGTTTGTAGAGCGAGCATGTAAAGCATGCAGTTGCGGAGAATCAGGATGTTGTGATATAGAAGAAAGTATAAGTCAGAAGTAGATAAAGTTAAAGAATACATTGCAGGTAATATGAAAAAGCTATGGATTTCTGTAGATTTCTTACTATTAAGTATGAAAGTACATCATCACAAATGACTCTTATCGTTGTACTTTCGTGTTTTTTGTGGCAAAAGAGCAGCATTTTTGTGAAGTAAGTCCATGATTTCAGCCGGCAGTTTTTCCAGAAAACTTCAAAAAATATTTATCTAATCGTCCAGCATAGCAATAGCAGAAGGGCTTCAGTCACTGACTGAAGCCCTTCTAGCACATGAGTGGTCCTTCTAGCACGTTCTCAATAATTTAGTGGTCAGTATCTATGCTACCAGAGCATGCGACTGAGATCCTTTTAGCACAATAAATTAATTTATGTATTTTTTTGACTAAAACCCTTTTAGCATGTGTCGATTCAATTACTAAATATCCCAAGTTCCTACTTTGTTAAAAAATTATTAACTAATTTATATATGTTACCATTTATTATATAATTTTATAATATGTTTTTATATTTGTATTTATATACATATGTAGCCAGTCAATATATTATTATAATAACTGGTAACAACTTTGGAAGAGACAACTTTAAAATAGCAACCCAATTATACTCAAGCATGGCGTCAAGAGACACAAATTTTTTAAAATACCAAATTAAACTTCCTCAAACTCTTACCAAGGACAAAAAACCCAATTTTAAATTAATATGCTGGATTGAATAAGGCAGTTTGCGTCTACGGACTTGGAGGGGAGATCAACTCGCTGAAATTCCAGGCAAAAAGAAACAAAAAGACGGTAGCAGCCAAAACAAAAAGAAATTATTTTTAAAAATAAAATTGCTGTTCTAAAACAAATGAAACCAACAAGAACTGGAGTAGCAAACTCAGTCACTCTAGTAGACATTGTAGAAAGCGGCACAAATACGACAGGCGGTGATAAAGCCATTATTGTACAAGTCACTCGAGAACTGAACAAAAGGTAAAAAAATTAAGATAATGTAACCGGAGTCAAAGAATGCGATTCAGAAGATCCAGAAAAAAAGAAAAAAACATGATAAAAAAAGGATTATATTACTGAAAGTAACCCTAATATTCAAAAAAGAAGTCGTCTGAAGTGCACGTAGAATAAAAATCTAGCAGCAAGTAGACTCGTTAAGGATCTGTGCTAGGACTAATTCCATTTGCCATTTTCATAGACAGCCTTTCAAACGGCATAAACTCTTGTTGCAAAATGTTTGTAGACGACATTATAATAGCATTAATCCGGACGGACAACACTATGGAAGAAACTTTATACAACATATGTCAGACCAAAAAAGATTGGGAACGTCATGGGACAACATACCTATGAAGAAAAGCTAATCAAACTCAAACTTACTGTGCGTTTTAACTTTGCACCGAAAAAGTGACGACCTTATTCAAGAATTTAAAATCATAAAAGAAATTCACAAATTGGAATGGTGTGTATCAACCATCATAAGAGAGCCAAGAGCTAGTCAAGCATTCAAGAATCAGCTGGACTACCTCCTGCATAGTTGCTACCACAGTT